GGTCAGAGGCAGCCGGTTGACATATCCAAAGGCCGTAATATTTGTGTTGCTCTCAAAGTTTTTTGAGGCATTTGCTGCAAATGGTGTCCGAAGTATGTATTCCATGCAATTATTCCACAAACAATTGTTGTCTTATCAAAATTTTCCATTCAATCACAATAATCATTTAATCGATATCGTTTTTTTTATGTCAATTTTGTTTTCTTTGTTCGATTGTAGCCGTATTGGCGTTGTATTTGCGGGATTCGCTTAACTTTACCGAGGAATCATCGATGACATTTTATCATGTCTTTAATTTTTTCAGTCAATTTTGTCCAGTGTTTGGCGCGATCATAGCGGATAGTTATCTGGGCAATGTAAAAACTATATTTTATTTATTCTTTTTCTATGCCTGTGGATGGATCGGTATGGTGATTTTAACATTGCCACTCCAAACGGTACCAATCACGTAAGATGACGCACATTGCATTCAAATTTTGGTGCAGATAACAACAACAATCGTTATTTCATAACACTGTAGTAACGAAAAAATGAACGATTCTACACATGAATTTCAGCTTTTAATAGGGGACAAGTGTAGTTGAACCACATATTTCGTTTTGATAAGTTGGTGGATTGGTATCAAGAACGACCCTTTCATAACTGTTTATCAGTAATGTTGAAAAAATGGTCAAAAATGGCCTCTTACGACGTTTTTGTCTTCGACAACTACCATTTTTTCGTCAAAAAAATTTGAGTCTCTGAGTGGATATAGACCCATCGTAGGTCATTGTCTGAGCGTTTTCTATGCCGTAAGTGTGATTTTGTATCATTCTTTCAATCAATCGATTATTTTATGAAGAAATGTCAATTTTTGACCAAATTTGTAGGAAAATCGGTGTTCAAGTGTTCAGAGACCCATATTTTTTTGACGAAAAAATGGTAGTTGTCGAAGACAAAAACGTCGTAAGAGGCCATTTTTGACCATTTTTTCAACATTACTGATAACCAGTTATGAAAGGGTCGTTCTTGATACCAATCCACCAACTTATCAGAACGAAATATGTGGTTCAACTACACTCGTCCCCTATTAAAATCTGAAATTTATGTGTAGAATCGTTCATTTCAAAAGCTGTAAATGTTACTACAGTGTAATAATAACAAAACAATTGAACTGTTATTGTTTATTTGTTCCAGATCTTTGGTTCTTACATCATTAATACTGATATCAATTGGCAATGGCAGTATTCGTGCCTGTGTCACGAGTTTGGGCGGCTCACAGTTTGAGTTGCCGCATCAATCAAGGGATTTGGATCAATACTTTTCGCATTACTATTTCATTTATACGCTTGGCATTATGTTGGCCAAAATTATTCCTCCCGAAATTAGAGCACAAACTCAATGCTTCGGGCATAAGGAATGCTATGCTGCCGTTTTCGGTGCACTCGGTACCGTCTTTTTAGTCGCTTGGGGTGAGCGAAATCATATTTAAACGAAATGAATCAAAATTGCCACAAAATTGACAGTTTTATCTCGTTCGAAACAGTTGTTTTCTTGTTGGGTATGTTCCTGTACAAAAACGAAGAAATGGGCGAATCAAAGAGCAACATTCTATTCCAAGTTATTGGATGCATTTACACTGGCATCAAACACAAAATTAGGAAAATGCGCAACGGCCCGTCAGCATATTGTACATGGATTGATGGCGCTTTGGAGCACTATTCGGACAATTTTGTTCGGGAAGTTTGCGCCGTTATCAAGGTATTTTTCTATAATTTTACAAATTAATAAACGCCCAAATAAAACATCTTCGCTAAATTGTAGGTGTTGAAATTATTTATCCCGCTACCGATGTACTGGGCCTTATTCAATCAAATTGATTCGAGTTGGACATTCCAATCGTCGTGTTTGAACACAACCGTGTTTGGCTTTCGAATCGAAGCTGATCAAGCGAAAGCAGTTGGCGCTTTGTTGCTTTTAATTCTAATACCACTTTGGCAAAACGTTGTGATTCCTGCACTTCTGGTGTATAACGTTCGAATTTCACCTCTGAAAAGCATGGCGATGGGTGGCTTCAGTGCCGTGCTGTCATTTTTCTGTGCTGGACTTCTGCAAGTTAAAATTGAACATTCACTTCTATCAAACACCGGTGAACAATGGTCTATATTGTGGCAATTCCCACAATTTCTATTGATAATGTTGGGAGAAGTCATGCTTTCAATACCCGGCTTATCCTTCTCATTTAAACAATCACCATACTCGATGCGATCGGTAATGACTGCTGCTTGGTTCTGTAATAATGCGTTCGGCAATCTGATTGTGATCGCCATTACGGAATTAGAACCGTTCAAATTACAAAGCTCTGGATACTTTTTGTACGCATTTCTGATGCTCTTTGCAATCATTCTGTTCTGCTGGCTGGCTAGCACTTACCAATACTCATATTTTGATAATGTTAGCGATAGCCATAATGCAGCTGACAGCAATGACAACCTACTCAAACGACGGCCGAGCAATGTGCCATATTCAACTCTTTCATCACAAGATGGACTCGATCTTCTTTTTTAACATGTTGCTTTTATTTAATAATCTCATTTTTATTTTTCCTGTTTAAGTATGTTGAACGCGAAAAAGATTTCAATAAAGTCCATTTATTGTGAGAAATTTTTGAAAAAATATTCCACTTCGAGCAAACAGTCTTCTTCAAGATCAGTACAATGGACGGCATTTTTTTTTATCAGACTCACAGCAAGTGTCAATGACTTTGATTCAAGTAATAATGTTGGTTGTTTTTTCTGGATCTACTTTTGAGATTTCGTCCATATTATTGAGGTAAAATACTGTATCAGTCATTGCACCGTTTCCATAATGAAGACCAGCTGAACTTTCATCACTTATTAACCGTTCGGGATCTTTAAAATATTTTTAGAAAAATAAAGAACAATATATTTTATCTGTGTCAATTCTTATTCATAATATTGAATAAAAATATTCGTCAATCTGTAGAAATGGATTTTCAATTCATAGGGGAAAACATTTTATTCACCTGCAACCAATTGTGTTTTAAGCGATTGAATGATAAAAATATACTCGTTTATATTTTCTTTCATTTGAATGCATTACATCCAGTAACTACCCAAGCGAAAAAGAACGATGAGGCTCTATCATGACGATAAATTTCATCGTAGACTAGCGGCGAGCGCGTGTATGCAACACATCTCCGTTCTCACTGCTGCGATGTTAAACATAGTACGTACATGACCAGTTATGTATCGGTGTGCGTGAACCGCGTACTATGTTTAACATCGCAGCAGTGACAACGGAGATGTGTTGCATACACGCGCTCTCCGCTAGTCTACGATGAAATTTATCGTCACGATAGAATCTCATCATACTCTTTCGCTTGGGATACAAAAGCAACCGAAATACCCGATTATCAAATGTCGTTGATGCCAAAGCCCAGTAAGTCAGTCAGGTCATGTTGTCGCGTCAATTCAAACATAGCACAATTGATGATTGAAATGCATTATTGCAGAGAATTTTGAAAATTTCGCTTAATTTTGAAATGTATTTGGTGGGTATTAATCCGAAAGCTCTAAAGAAGCAACTGGAAACGTTGAATCGTATCCTTTTGATAATTTGTTCTTAAAGTATCAATTGAAATGGCTAACTTTTGTCGTTTACTTGTCAATTTTTTTGTGTGTGTTTTCATCTTGGTATTCTGTGATAATGACCTGTCGTCCGAATATATTCAATTTTGCTCCAATGTAAAACTTTCTCTCGTTATAATTATTATCATGGATGGTAGAGACTGGGTTTTTCGGAGACTGGGTTTACACTAGATAGAATCGATTTTCAAAAGTGAGGACCTTTTTTTTTTTTTAGGTCTTCATTTTTTTGTGACACCCATTTATAAATTTTCAGACCCCCATTAATAAATTTTCACCCCCCCTTTGGCAAAATCATTTTACCCCCCCTAAAATTTTTGACCTTGCACACGTCTGATATGCATGGATGTGGCAATTTCCTTTTTGAAGTGATATCGAATCTA